AACAAAATGAAATAAATGAGTTGGCTGAAGGTAGCCAGAGAGAGGGGTGGAGATGGTTGCAAGCACTGGACATTGATAAGAGGGTTTGAATAGGTTCTGACTGGTTTGACATGGTTAATAACCGGACTGGGATCATTGATAGGCTAATAAAGGGGTTATCGAATAATGAGAAAGGGCCTAAATCTGTGAATGCGTGTGTATGTGTCTGAGCTGAGGCACAGAGATTAAGATTGCGAGCTCCCTGTTTTTGTTTCTGCCTGTAAGCTGAAGGCCATTTTGGAGAGCTCAGAGTTTTGTTTTCATTCCTCTGTGGTTCTGATATGACGTATGGGGATGTGAAGCTTATGGATATTTGTTGGGGTGAAATTGAGCCCATTAGCAGCCAGTCATTCTGAAAGATGTATTAAATGAATTACATGATGATCCTAGAATTTTTTTGGACAGATGGGAGCAAACATTAGTTTTCTTGTCTTTTTCTTTTGTGTCTGAAAATAAACAATTGACTTTTGTTTGGAGAGACATTGGACACTTTCTTTCTTGAGCCACAGGAAGGATTACACCACAGAGGGGACAGAGACTAATTTTACAACTGAACTTCATAAGGAGATGATGGACTGCGGCCATCCCCCTTCCACATTATCTTCCCCACCCGCTCTCCTGTACTTATCAGCTCATGTTGGCTCTAAAGGGGTGGGCTTAATGCTGAACTTAACACCAATCACTTCCCACCTTTAATTAGACCTTTTATTTAATTATTTCTCAAAATAAAAGAATAAAAAATCTCTAGCCTGGCCCTAATACTCCACAGGGGCAAGGGTGAAAGACAAGACCTCTAATCACCATTATTACCTTAATAGGATCAACCTGTCTAACAGATGCCATCGCCCTTTCATAAGGGATCAGTGGAAGAACATTTAACACAATAGATGCAAACTATGTTTTATAGACTTTATTCATGAGCTCATGAAAGCTCAACCTCTTAAACCTTCAGGGGGTATAAATTAATTTCCGCCTGACAAAAACACACAAAAGTAAATCACTTATAGCCTCACAGCTATTAGATTTAAGAAGAAACTTTTGGTACGTCTGTAAAGGTAAGATGTCATAGAATGGTTTTCTGGTGTCAGCACCATTGTAGCTTTGACCCTGCCTGAAATATTAGGGACAAAATACAAAATATTTTGCATTTTTTGAACCTCGCCAAAATTTTCTTTGAAATAAACATTGCAAAACACTACCAAAATATTATTTATAGCACAAAAAAGTTGTACAGACTTTTAAATCTAAATGTTGTGTAAAAATATACCGAATTTGGACTCAATCAGATTAATCATATTTATTTTAGAATGTTATTAGTGAGAAATTTCTTAGGCGGAGAGGCCATTTTGGCACATTTATCCATAAATGTCACCAAACTGTGCCAAATGTGTTTTTTACATCAATACTGGGGGTTTGTTAAAATTACGAGGTCACGTAGCAGCTGGACCCACTGGTGGGTCCGTAGGGTTCTAGGGGTTAAAAGTAAAGGAAAAAAAAAACCTGAAGAATTTATACCCTTACCACTGCAGCTAAAGTCTACAAATATTGCTATCAGGTGTAGTATAGTATTCTGTCTTCTAATATTTGCAGCATGTTTCTTCTAAAGGGAAATTATTTTAGTGCTTTTGAAGTTGAGTCCCATTGTTAATATGGGATCGAATCTGTAGAGAGAGCTAAAGACTTTGAGCAAGTCACCCAAAATTAGTTATGACCGGACCAGTGAAAAGATGCCAAAAGCTGCTTGGCAAAAATACGCTTACCATTATTTATAAAAAATAAAATGCATGGAATAAAACTTTTATTTCCTAATTTCTATTGCCTTACATGTGTTTTTATTATTTTTCTACATATGCTCACTTGATTTATGATCAGAAACACCATATAATATCTAATATGTCAGGGTATGATAGGTTTTTAATTAATAAGCTGATGTTAATTCACAAGGATGGGGTATTTAATTCTCTTAAATCTTAAACTAGTGAAACTCTTTAAGATTAATTTTTTTTTGCCTTAATGTCATTGTTGTTTTTGTTGTTTTTCTTTATATATGACAGCAAACTGTCTGCTACAGAGTGTAGCATACCAACTATTTGTTAGTGTATGTTAATCTTTGAGATGGTTCGTATCAGCTTTGAAAAGTGATTGTTTAAAAAAGTGTTCTATAATCTACTTATTTTCTATTGTGAATGGGACATATCATCTCCTCCAGCAGCTCACTCAGCGGTCTTATTGCTTTTCAGTGTGAGCTGATCCAAACAGTGATCAGAACCAACACAAAACGGTGACATGAATTTAAAAACCCATCTGCAACTGAAGTGTTTATTAGTGAAATTTACATGCATTTTTATGGCTATATTCAGCCACAATTGTTTGAGACAAGTACATTAGGTGCATGGAATAGAGGGAAAAAAGCAACCTTTTGTTAGACCCAGAATGGAAACAGGAAAAAATGGCAATGCAGCGGTATGAAATTATGACAGAAATTGGCAAGACAGGGTGAGAGATTTTTGTTTACTGCGCCATTTTATAAAGAAGACAATTTAGATCATTAGGAAAGAGAGGGTAAGAAATGTAATATCAAAAACTTTGCAAGAATAAACATATTTTAAATAGTATTACACCAATACCGATACCAGTATCGGGCGGGGCCCCGATCAATCACTAAAATGGTGGCATCTGTATCGGTGAGTACTAACTAATAGAGCACCGATACCATTTTGTTCTAAACACAATACAAGTTCTACTGGATTCAATTTCTATTAGTCTTTTTCCTGCTTCACAAAGGTAGGCAACAGCTTGACAAAGCCATGATGGCAATTATTTTACATCCAAGTAGTATGCAGTTCTTCATATTTACACACACACACACACAGGGGTTGACGTTAAGGGAATAGTACACCCAAAACATGATTAGCCTTCATTTTCTACTCACCCCCATGCTGAACAACACTCTGGAGTACTTTTTTGATATCTCAAATGCATCTGGAGATCTGGGAGGCTTCTTGCTGTCTGCTGACATTCAAATAATGGAGGTCTATGGTGCCCGAGTCAGAAAGGTCCATAAAAGTCCACAAAAAATGTGTCAATATTCCTCCATACTGCTCGTCCAATGTATTCCAATTGTCCTGAGTGGGTAGCATCCAGAATTTACTCGAAACAAAGTAATTTAGAATGTTTTTAGAGCATAAACAGTAGTGTATAGGATTTCCTAAAAGGGCGTTCACGAGTCTACGGAAACCGCGGCAGACCAAACCAGATGAAAGTGCGCATTCAGCTCGGCAAAGAACTCATGCTCTTCCTCAACACTGAAGTCCTCAGACATTTTTCTTTCGTTGTTTCTTTCTTTGCACAGGTAAACAGCACATTTCTTCTTCTACGCTTGCATTATCGGCAGAGCAGACGCTGAATGCGCACTTTCATCTGGTTTGGTCTGCCGCGGTTTCCGTAGACTCGTGAACTCGCTTTTAGGAAATCCTATACACTACTGTTTATGCTCTAAAAACATTCTAAATGACTTCGTTTCGAGTAAATTCTGGACGCTACCCACTCAGGACACTTGGAATACATTGGACGAGCAGTATGGAGGAATATTGACACGCTTTTTGAGGACTTTTATGGACCTTTCTGCCTCGGGCGCCATAGACCTCCATTATTTGAATGTCAGCAGACAGCAAGAAGCCTCCCAGATCTCCAGATGCATTTGAGATATCAAAAAAGTACTCCAGAGTGTTGTTCAGCATGGGGGTGAGTAGAAAATGAAGGCTAATCATGTTTTGGGTGTACTATTCCTTTAAGGATTTTCACCACTTGCCCAAAGGGCAAATGACTTTCACATTTCATTTGCCCAGAAACAATTTTCACTTGCCCAATATAATGTTGATAAATATATTTCCTAATATTCATTTTTGTATATAAATCAATGAAACATGTTTGTTTTTTAAATGTTTTTTTTGTAATTCAGTAAGTTTCCAGGTTCCTGGTGTGTATCTGCATGCGTCAGATTATGAACTCAAGCCTACATTACCGTGTTAACATGCTTTTCAATCCTTCCTGCACATTCTTTTCAAACTAAACTTTGCTTTAAACTATTGTGTGCTTGGAAAAATATAAATTGTAATGTTAAAAATGTAAAAAAAACTTGACGGGTTAAAAACTTAAGATAAATCACAAGACAGAAGTTAATGTCCCAAATGAATAACTTTTATTTTAGAGTCACGGTATGTTTATACAAGATAATACTATTAATATAATGTGACTTTTCTAGAGAATCATTATACATAGTTATTTTATACTGGGTTTCCAGTCTTACATAATTTCAGAATTCCCTGACTTTTAACTGACTCAGGATTAGTTTTCCCTGATAAAATAAAATGCAGCCGTTTCTCGTTTTGGTAACTACATCAAAATTACCACTAGGTGGACAAAAATCACGCCATCTGGCGAAAAATCACGCGGCTTTTTCAAATCACGCGAGAATGTGTACAAAACAACAGAAATGGTGCTGGAAACGCTTCTGGGTCGTTTTCATCCAATGTCTGTGATTTTAAAGTAATTTTGAGTGATAAATAATTTTTTTTTGCGATCATTGCACTTGCCCGGCGACAATAAAAACTACTTGCCCGGAGATCGGGCGATTGTTAACATCAAGCCCTGCACACATCAATTGAAACCGTTGGTAATGGTATGGTATCGATATCGGCCAGTACTGCACAGCAAGGTATCGGGTATCGAGGCCAAAAACGGCATTGGTGCAACACTATTTTTAAATAGTCAAATAGTGTTGCATTAAAGATAAACCTGCTTAGAAGATTTTTTTTAAATAGATAGAGTAAAAATCCATGTCCAGAGAATATGATCATCTGTAAAATGTGGTGCCTGTCATCTTTTCTTATTTGTAGGTGGCTTTAGCTTTAAGCAGCAACAAATTAATCTTTGTTTGAATTTAAATGCACTTTCCCCAGCCATCCGGTTTGGTAGGATGCCCCAATCAGAGAAGCAGAAGCTCAAAGCGGAGATGGTGATGGGGGAAAGGGAGGTGGTGAACCCTGAGCTCTCAGACCAGAAAACCCTGGCCAGGCAGATCCACGAGGCCTACCTGAAGAACTTCAACATGAACAAGGCCAAGGCTCGGACCATTCTCACAGGAAAGACCAGCACCCCTGTACGTTGATTTAAAGTGGTGGGTTGGTGAGTGAGAGGCAATGACTGTGTTGTGCTGATTGCACTTTATATTATGAGCTAAACATTCATTAGTTATATCCTAAAGGAATTATTTGAAACTCTTTGTAAGCTTTAAACAAATGAAGGTCAAAGTAAAGTGTCATTGATAGGTTCTTTATAAAGCCAAGGATTACCTACTTAATCAGTGATCTCAAGGGAAATTATTGATTTAGAAATTCTAGATGTATGATATAGACACAAATAGTATTTATTACAATAGTGAGGCCTTTGGGAAAATGTAGTTTGTCTTTAGTTGTGTATTTATTGCAGAGTTCACGGCTGCATAAACTGAAAGTAAAATATTTTGCCCATCCTAATAATATGATAAAAATAATCTTCAATTATCCACGGTTTTCTTAGTGAGATGCTTATTGAGTTTTGCAGCCAATCCAGTTGTTATTTTTATTTATTTATTTTTATTTTATTTTTTTACTCCCCGCTGTGGATTTGAACCACTGATTGAAAGACACAATTTGTTATCATTTTTTTCAACATGCTGGTATGCTACGCAAACAGCAGCCTGCTGATGGAGAACCACATAAGACACACTACGTCCTGGAACATATTTTCTTTAAATAACACCAAAAAAAAGGACACAATCTGTGCCAGCAGTTTAGGCTTGGAGATCTATTAAAGGGTTATAAGGAATCATTCACTAAAAAAGTATTTTTTCTTTAAACTTAAAAGATGTATCTGTTGTGAGGAAATTCTGAAACATTTCCACAAAAAAAGTCCATAAAAGTTTCAATAAGGCATCTGGATCAAGATTTAGTAAACAGTTTGCAAACTGAGTCAGAAATGTCTGTGTTTTTAACTGATCTGCTTGCTTAAATCCGCACATACTGTAGTGACTGATGCATATTTGTTTGACTGTGTCCTCAAGTTAACTCTTGGTTTTCCCTTTCAGCCATTTGTGATTCATGACATGGAGACGCTGCAGCTGGCAGAGCAGACGCTGGTGGCAAAGATGGTTGGCTCGGCGGGGCCACTTAAGGAAAAGGAGGCAGAGGTACGGATTTTCCACTGCTGCCAGTGCACATCAGTAGAAACGGTCACTGAACTCACAGAATTCGCAAAGTCCATCCCGGGCTTCGCCAACCTGGACCTCAACGATCAGGTGACGCTGTTGAAGTATGGAGTGTACGAAGCCCTCTTCGCCATGCTCGCCTCCAGCATGAACAAAGACGGACTCCTGGTGGCCTACGGCTCCGGCTTCATCACCCGGGAATTCCTCAAGAGCCTGCGGCGACCGTTCAGCGACATGATGGAGCCCAAGTTCCAGTTTGCCATGAAGTTTAACGTGCTGGAGTTGGACGACAGCGACTTGGCTTTGTTTGTTGCTGCTATCATCTGCTGTGGAGGTGAGGATGAAGAGACGCAGGCTGTTTGGGCTCTTATTGAACACAGAATCCTTAGTCACAGTTATATATTTTTATCCCATGTTATAAAAAAAAAGATCATTAATCTGTTTTTACCAGCAGACAGTTTGTCAATATGAAGGCTCTCTGAAATAACCTGCCCCCTGTGAAAAATTATTAGTGCACTAGCAGCCTAGAAGCTACCATCAGGATATGAGTCATTACATTTGTACACTCTTCTACGCAGAAGAGAAACCAAATATTAAATTGTTTTAACTCTGCCATATTGGAAAAAAGACTATTAGTCTATTAAAGGTCATCCTGCAGCGCCTCAATTATTTTAGGTTTAAAGCCTCTTTTAGGACTTAGTATGGTTATGTCTATCTGTAAAACTGTGTATAAAGATCTTAAATGTTGAAGTATGAAAATAAAAAAACAAATCTTCAAGGAGGGATTCCAGAACTGTAAGTTTAAAAGATTTGTTTTTATTTTAACATTGCTCATGGATCTCTCAAATGAGCTTAACTGACAGTTGTTAAGTAATACTTTTCTTTTCTAACACACTTTGTCCCTTCACTCAACTTTCTATTGGAACGTTACAATCAGTAACACCTCCTTTAACAGGGGTAACCAATTAAAAATAAGCTGGGTCTGAATAAAGAAAATCAATCAGTAAAGGTCCGGAGACATCTTTAAAAATAATCTGTTACTTTAAACAGCATTTAAAGGAGAACACAATTTTTTTTTTACATTGATTTTACGTTAGTACATCATTTTCTACTCACCCATATTAGTTTTATGTCATGTGGAGCTGTTCTGAAGATATTCGGTTAGGTTATATCCAGGTAAAGTCTTCCTATGAGCAACGAGTTGAAGGAACAAACTAAACTGTTCATAATTTATTCTTCATGGTACGCCAGCATTCATAACATGTAGGCCAATCACTGTCCCCCAGACATCCGCGGTTATATTTTTTATATTTCTATTTTTTAAAACAAAGCAGTGTGTCTGACGTCATCCGCGCGCGCCGGCTACCGTTCATTCATCCTGTCTGCTGAACTGCTGCTAGTTTTACTCAAATGCCTGGAAGATGTGTAGTGCTGCTACCACAGATGATCTCTCTCTCCAAATGGAATTGAACGATTCAGATTAGCTCGCCGATTGAATAGAAGGGGTAGAGCGTAGCCGCCTGTGGCCCGGGCTGCCTGTCACAACTAAAGTCTAGCGTGCGGATGATGTCATACACACTCAGCTTTGTTTTTAAAAGATAAAAATTTTTAAAAATATAACCGCGGATGTCTGGGGGACAGTGATTGGCCTATAGGAAGACGTTACCTGGATATAACCTAACGGAATATCTTCAGAACGGCTCCAAATGACACAAAACTCATTTGGGTGAGTAGAACATGATGGAATAACGTAAAATCAAGGGGCAAATGTAAAAAAAAGAAGAAAAAAAAACGGTGTTCCCCTTTAACATTGGAATAAAACGAGGCGTTTATGCATGCATGTTATACATTGACTTTTTAAACTGACCAATATAAAAAATAAAGAAGAATACAAATTTTCAATTTTAAAATCTATTATTTTAAAATCTATATAGACAATTTCCTGATTCACATATTTTATAAAACACCTGAACTGACAGTTTTTTGTGTTTTCTTTCTTTTTTATGGCTTTATGCTGCCCTGCAAGGCTTTAAACCTGGGTTTAAATGGAGACAAAGCCATTCTAAAGCTCATATCAAGGAGCTCATTTTGCGCCTGGATTGTTATTTATTTTTTATTATGGTCATGGTTTTAGAATCCTGCTTCACAGCAGCAGGCTGAACCAAACATCCTCTAAATGTTCAGGGTCATCTTTGAGCACCATTTCACTTTCCTTTCACCAGTTCACCACAGTTCTTCCAGCAGTCCACACTTCCTCTGCTCTCTTTTTCTCATCATCTTCTCCTTCTTTCCCATCGCCCGGCTTGCCTCAGGTTTGCCTGCTGTGTCTAAAAGTAGCAGCAGCAGCAACCCAGACTGACAGCAGCTCATTGGCTAAATTGTATCACGTGCAGCCTGGAGCCGGACGCTCTGAAGGGTTTTACCATATTAACAGGAAAAGAGGCGCAAGTGAAGTTAGACACTGTATTCAGACAACATGTAGTAATTTATAAAGGGTTTAAATCAGCTTGGGTCCAGATTAGCTAGCAGGTGGGTCCGGATCTGGACCTAGTCCGCTAATCTGTGACCTGTCCTATAAGGTCTAATGTGATATTGTGATTTTATGAGAAAAGTAATATCAGGTTTCCATTAGGTATAAGCCAAAATCATCAAAATAAAAAAACACATTAAATATACAACTCTGTCAAAAATAAATCAGTAAATTCTAATTTATAAGTTGTATTACATCTCTGTTGATAATTTATTAAAAAGAGACGATTATAATGCTTTGATTGACTTCTCTGATTTCCTCTGCACTTAGACCGACCTGGCCTAGTAAATGTGGCAGCTATAGAGGTGATGCAGGAGAGCATTGTGCACGTCCTCCACCGCCACCTGGTGTTCAATCACCCTGATGACACTTTCCTGTTCCCTAAGCTGCTGCAGAAACTTGCTGATCTCCGGCAGCTGGTGACAGAACATGCACAGCTGGTGCAGGAGATCAAAAAGACAGAGGACACATCCCTGCACCCACTTCTACAGGAGATCTACAGAGACATGTACTGAGGACTGCGATAACCCGCCAATGGATACAAACACAACATTCAGAGAAGACATGGAGATTTCCATCAATCAGGGTTGAACCCTTTATGCATTGCTGTCTTTGATATGGCAGCATTTTCTTCCACTTGTGGTAAGCTAAGAGGACTTGTCACCAGAGGACGGTTCCTTTGGTTTGTCAGGGTTCTCATCACTCCTTTATAAAAAGAGAAAAAAGCACCAGATGTGATATCAGTCGGATTAAGCCACTTTACAGACTGTAGCCTTTCTGACCATCTCAGCTATTAAACCTCAGTGAGCCCTAAAAAGAATGAAAGAGAGAGATCTTGATGATTGCCACTCCAGTTTTGTCAGAGACTACACTAGAGTAGACTGTGCTAGATCTCAAAAAGTCATGTGATGTTAGCATCAATTAAAGGACCTCAACCTGGCAGTGACATTAAAAGCTATGCAGTTTAAAAATGAGAGATTGACTCTACTGAATTTGCTGCAATTTAAAAGTGTCTAGAATGTTAATTTTCATACGCCGTACAGCTAAAAAAAATCACAAGCTAAGATATGATTAGCGATTTAGTACTTTTTCTAAAGGTTAGAATAATCAGAGGCTAATATTCAGTTGGATGTTAGAATGTTTTGCATATCAGAAGCATTAATTCATTAATGACACCAAATATCTGAGCCTTTTTTTCGCTTTTCTATCCAAATACATGCTAAGATGGCCGACACTCCGTCCGTTGTTTTGTCCTTTTGTTCAATGGCTTTTATCAACCTTAACAGAAGCATGCAGAAATACAGAACTAACCACAAACAGGAACTAACCTGATATTTGCTCAGTTTTTCTAAAAGATTAAGTGTTCACAAAGAAAACAGCAACACACACCCACCTACACACAAACACACAAAAGGGTGACATTATTTTCTTATCTAGAATGTTCTATAACAGAGTGGCCTGACCCCGTCTAATATGTCCAGGCTGTTGAAGTTTTATTTTAAACTTTTCTCTTCCATCTTTTGGGTTTTTGTTTAACTTCACCCACCCCTCACTGGCACTGATAATACTTGAGGTTTAGGTAACATCTCTCAGCAATAACTTCAGCAACAAATAGGGTTTTCAGCTTGTCCTTGTTAAGGAAGAGCAACTAGAACCAGCAGGATGATGTTTTAAAAGAGTTTTTTTCTTTACATTTCTGAGCATTAATTCCAGTCATCAGCTAATCTCTTGCATGTGTACTTTTCCTCATACAAAACAGCATCTTCTGCTTTTTGGTGTCTTCCCATTTTTTGTCTAAGACGAACCTGCTAGTTTAGATGTACCTTATCCGGGGTCGGGTCGTGGGGTAGCAGCTTCAGTAGGTTGGCCCAGACGTCCCTCTCCCTAACCATTTGGTGCAGCTCCTTCAAAGGAATCCCAAGCCGCTCCCAGGCCAGCCGAGAAACATAGTCACTCCTGTGTGTCCTAGGTCTCCCCCTTGGCCTCCTATTGGTGGGACGTTCTTGGAACACCTCACCAGGGAGACGTCCAGGAGGCATCCTAACCAGATGCCCGAGCAACCTCAACTGGCTCCTCTCGACGTGGAGGAGCAGCTGCTCTACTCTGAGTCCTCCCATGACTGAGCTCCTCACCCTATCTCTAAGGGAGAGCCCAGACACACTACGGAGAAAACTCATTTCAGCCGCTTGTATTCGAGACCTCGTTCTTTCAGTCATGACCCAAAGCTCATGACCAGAGATTAGGGTAGGAACGTAGACCGACCGGTAAATTGAGAGCTTTGCTTTTTGGCTCAGCTCCCGCTTCACAGCAGACGCCGCATCAATCTGCCTATCGATCTCGAGATCCATCTTCCCCTTATTCGTGAACAAGACCCCAAGATACCTCAAGTCCTCCAGTTGGGCAGTACATTCTCCCCAACCTGGAGAGGGCACTCTACCCTTTTCTGGCTCAATATCACGCTCTCTGGTATGGAGGCATGGATCCTCATCCTGGCCGCTTCACACTCTGCTGCGAACCAATCCAGTGAGATCCAATCCACAATCCTAAGGCCACCAAATAAATCCCCTCAACACCTAGGCAGCACCTAGGAATTCTGTCCATAAAAGTTATGACTCTACATTGGGCAACCTTGGCCCCAATGTAGAGTCATAATGTAGAGTCCAACCCTCACCGGAAAACGACTGCAACTTACTGCCGGCAATGCGGTCCAGGCTCTTACACCGGTCATACTGAGACCTAACAGCCCTAGGCCCTATGGGCCCGGTACGCCATATTCCCGGAGTACCCCGCACAAGACCCCCCAAGGGCCACTGCTGGAAAACAGGGCATGTCACGTTACTCCAAACCCCACAAGGAGGTTCCTGGACTAATCTAATTTTTTTTGTATATGCATCTTTCCTCAAAGCAAATTTAGACAAACTTCCTAAACTGAAAAATCTTAGCAATCGGAGGAAGTTCTAACCCTATCACTTAAAGGAATAGTACACCCAAAACATGATTAGCCTTCATTTTCTACTCACCCCCATGCTGAACAACACTCTGGAGTACTTTTTTGATATCTCAAATGCATCTGGAGATCTGGGAGGCTTCTTGCTGTCTGCTGACATTCAAATAATGGAGGTCTACGGTGCCCGAGACAGAAAGGTCCATAAAAGTCCACAAAAAATGTGTCAATATTCCTCCATACTGCTCGTCCAATGTATTCCAAGTGTCCTGAGTGGGTAGCTTCCAGAATTTACTCGAAACGAAGTCATTTAGAATGTTTTAAGAGCATAAACAGTAGTGTATAGGATTTCCTGAAAGCGCGCGCCAGCGCGTTCAGGACGCTATGGAAGCCGGCAGACCAAACCAGATGAAAGTGCGCATTCAGCGTCTGCTCTGCCGATAATGCAAGCGTAGAAGAAGAAATGTGCTGTTTACCTGTGCAAAGAAAGAAACAACGAAAGAAAAATGTTTGAGGACTTCAGTGTTGAGGAAGAGCATGAGTTCTTTGCCGAGCTGAATGCGCACTTTCATCTGGTTTGGTCTGCCGCGGTTTCCGTAGACTCGTGAACGCGCTTTCAGGAAATCCTATACACTACTGTTTATGCTCTAAAAACATTATAAATAACTTCGTTTCGAGTAAATTCTGGATGCTACACACTCAGGACACTTGGAATACATTGGACGAGCAGTATGGAGGAATATTGACACGTTTTTGTGGACTTTTATGGACCTTTCTGCCTCGGGCGCTGGGCACCTCCATTATTTGAATGTCAGCAGACAGTAAGAAGCCTCCCAGATCTCCAGATGCATTTGAGATATCAAAAAAGTACTCCAGAGTGTTGTTCAGCATGGGGGTGAGTAGAAAATGAAGGCTAATCATGTTTTGGGTGTACTATTCCTTTAACTTCCGAAAGTTACATTCGTACAAAGATGGCCTAGTCTAAATCATTTGGTATTTTTTTACTGCTCTTTTCAAACTTACTGCAGCTCCATCAGTATATCAATCAGTTTATACATGATACTTCATCAGTATCAAAATAGTTTTGATCTTTGAAAGAAACATACATTTAATTCATATTTAGAAAACAGTATCCAGCAGCGCTTATGACATTTGTGTAAATTACCATAAAATTAGCATTACCATTTACCAGCCACTAAAAGCTATCTCAAGGTGTACACAAGAAAAGACATATTGGTGTTTCCATATGCCTGATTTTGCTACAAACTATTGTAAACTGTTTTGTCAAATTTTGTTTTTCACTTGAACTTTATCATATTTCTGATATACTAAACAATGATTTGAAAGTGTAAATAGAATTAAGGTGTAACAGGGTGACTGGTGATCTGAATATCCACCATCTGAACCCTATTAGGGACGTTCCTTTGGTTAAAGCCACACGGCTTCCAGCTACACATCAACAGGTTTGGGCCGTGCTGAGCGGTCCAAAGTAGCAACTTCACTCCTTCATCTCTGGGTACAGTTTAATGATGTCTTGTAAATGTTTAGCTACTATATAGTACTGGCCATAGTGTCTTTTGATTCCGTTCTCTCAGATTGCACATCAGAATACAAACACAGATCATATATATACATATTTCAATATCAAATGTCTTTAGCTGCCTCAACTGCAAAATGTTATTGTTTTGAAATATTTTTTGCCACATTACAAATCTGCTTGTTGTCAGAGAATCTAAATGCACTCATCTGCCATGAAAGTACAGCTGATGCACTAATGTATATTTAGAGCAGATTGCTTTTTTATCCTGTTTATGTCTGACTTTTTTCTCCAGACTTGCTGCTATATGTACTAACTTGTGCTCTGACCATGTGCCTCTTACTTACTTACAGAAACCAGATATTTATATAAAATGTATTAAGGCCAAATCTGTTTTTCTCATTCTTTTGACATTTCAACAGACTGTTCTGTTTTAGTTCAGATAGGATAATCGTAAACTATTTCTGTATGCTATTCTGCAGAATATTTAGGGAAATGTATATTTTTTTCTTTTATTTAACAGTTTACATACATTTCCTTTAGTATTTGGTAGAGTAGACCTTCAAATTGTATGTTATGCTTCCAATGTTTTCTGATAAACTTACACAAAGTTTTGACTGTAGTTTTCTGGAATTCTGAAGATCTTCCTGCTTGGCCCGTACATCGTCAACCTGAGATCGTTGCCCTGTGGAAACCACTCCAAAAAATTTACTTTCTCCTCCTTAGTTAACGTTTAAAAGAATGAATCGGGTTTTCTGTGAGGGTTACTGTCCATGTGGAAGACCCACTTGTACCCAAGCTTTAAATTTCTGGCTGATATTTGAAATTTTACTTCATTGTCATCATGCCATATGTTCTTTGATCTGCACCAGTCGCTCCTGCAGCAATGCTACCAACCCTGTGTTAAGGTTAATATATTCTTTCTGCACATTATCATCTGTCTTGCAATGTTATGGCTTCTTGATCTCCTTTTGGAACTTCAGCCTATGTGAGTGGAATTGTTGCCTACATTTTACACCAAAACAATGTAATCT